TTTTTTTTTTTTTTTCTTCTCCTCCCCCCCAATCTTCCCTGCCATTCGTGTAACACTAACAAAGCAAATTGTTCTCTGAAAATGATAATGATGTTAAAAAAAAGAAAAAAGTTGGAATAAAAAATATAATTTCCCACACAGAGCTTTGTGAAGGAAAGGAGTATTCACTTGGCGCTGAGCTGTGTCAAGCACTCACAGCCAACTTCTTTCTCCAAAATTAGTTTCTACAGTTTGCGTATGATACCTTTTGTTTCTGGTTTAAACTAGTCTTCCATATATTGTAGTTGCTGAAATCAGTATTACCTTGGAAAACTGTTTTATGATACCATCCGCCGATTTAATGTTTCTCTCAAGTGGACCTTACGTGACCAGAAAGTTTCTCAGTTTGAATTGATGTGTTTTTGTGCTGTTTCTAACAGGTCAATGAAGACCGGGTGCAACAGATGGAGAAAGAGAATAGTTTCATCACACGCTGGAACGACAAGAAGGACGCCACAGTGAGTCGACCCTGCAGAACCCAAATGGAAATCACCGACGGGTGTTCTGTTTGTTTGTGTGTGTATTGATTTGCCTGCGTGCGTCAGGGTCTCTCAAATCAGGGATTCATTTGAACAAGTTTCCTGTTTTTCTGGCAAAAATGAAGGGGGCATGGAGGGCTGAGAGGAAGGAGGAGGAGGCAGGGGCAGGCGGGTGAGGAAAAGGGGCTTTGTTCCTGTTAACCTTTACAGCAGGTACTTGAGGCCTTGATGCCTCAGCCGAGAAAAACATTTGGTTGAGATAACTGGGGGGAAAAAATTAAATCACATTGCCGCCGCTGTTGTTGAAATCTGAAATAAGTTGTTTATGCCAGCTCCTTTCTGCTCCTCCTGCCCCCTTTCTCTCCTCCTTGTCCGTAGGCTTTCAGAACGTGTCTGCTGCTCTAGGGCAGGAGGGTTACTCAGTGGAAAGAGAGTGCTATTATAAAGCTGTCTGAGGTGAAAAGTTGGCCAACGTTTTGGTTATGGACACGAATTTGAAAGTTTTACCTGGCAGAAAAATAGAGACGTTTCTAGTTTCTTCATTAAGAACAATCATTTAGTGTAATTACAGGTCAGCATGGCAAAAACGCCTCTGTTGAGATAATGGGAACGCTTATTTTAGGGATGATTTAACCTTTTAGAGAAGTTAAACAGTGCTTAAAGTCATTATTATGTCACATTAATCATCTCCTTTTATATAGGACTTAGTTCCTTGGTCTTATTTATTTATTTATTTATAGACATGGCTTTACAATGATGTCTGCAGGGGCCACGGAACACAAAGCAATTGAACCCAGTCAACTTAACCACCAATACGGAAGTTAAACTAAAGTTAAAAAATGTCCATTTTATTCATCCATTCCATCTGGAGCTACTTTCTAGTGCTGTAGCTCTCAACCTGAAGAAAAAAAAGTGTTAAAAATGTAATTTCCCATCCCATTTCAGGACTTTTAAACGCTGCACTTGCTATGTTTTTTATGTAATGTAATTTATTTATAGTGGTATGTGGCTCAGGTTTATGTAGGTTATCTCTTTTTTTTTTTTTTTTTTACCTTGGTGGCTTTTTATTCAGTAGACTATTGGAACGAAGTGAAATGTAGCTTTTTAGGGTCTAGGTTATCAGAAATGGAGCAAAAATACATTTTGTTTTCAACCTTCGTCATAACAACCAATCATGAAGATGGTTGTGAAAACATGTCTCAGACCATCAACATTCATCCTGTAGATTTCTCTTTCTTAGAGATCCAGCTTTGCTCACTACATCTTAGCCTTTCTCACCCTAGGGTGTGCACACTCTACAGGTTATGAGACTGTGATGAAAATGTGAAATTATTCGTTATTGGCCATGAGAAACATGTATATTTCAGTTAGCGTATTGGCTAAAAAAAAATCCATATGGTGCATCCCAAAAAATGGAACCACTTCCATCACCTTGCAAAATTAATCAAAGTGATGTCTGGGTTGGCAATTTTATTACAAGACCAAGCACCTAAAGCTTTTCTAGCAGCTTAGTGAGGTTGTACTTTTAGCTAAATGCTAAAATAATACTAACATGCTCAGACTGCCAATGCTAACATGCAGATGTTTAGCAATCAGTGGCACCATGCTCACATGCTAATTCGCACTACACACAGTACAGCTGAGGCTGATGGGAATGTAATAAGTTTTTGGTCGTATCAGGAAAAAGTTAGATTTTGACCAGATGACGGCACTAACTGAAGAGTTAAAGCATCACCAAAGCTTTCACAGTTCATCACAAGGGTAATAAGAGTCCCTCCAAACCCCAAATGTTAACCTCATGGTGGCGCTAGAGGAAAAGTCAGATGATCAGAAGAATGAATGATCCTCTGGGGCCAAATTAATGTCAACCGACCGACATTGCCACAGCGCTAGCGTGGCTAAAAACACACAAACTTCGAATGCCGGCTAAGATAAGAATATTTAAGGTGCAACTTTTCACTTTCTACAGCATGAACATTGCTAAACAAGAGAGGAAAGTACAGGTAGGTTTTTAAGGCATGGGATGTTGCTGAGCAAATGGCTCTTGGTTCTGCACTTGAATGCCAAGACGGTGTGAGCTTTTGACATTTTCAGGAAGCTCGTCTCAGAGGGCTTGGGCCCTGCAGGTGCAAGGTTCTGACCTCATCTGTTTCCATTTAAAGGCAGAGAATGACAAGGAGGCCTGCATCCTGCAAGTGGATAGTATGGCTAGACTGAGGGAGTAAGTAAATCACTGATATAATGAGGTGTAAGGCAATGTCATGCCTTGTAAGTTAGAAGTGGCACTTTAAAATCAATACTTGCATTTACAGCCAGGGTGAGTGCAGTGAGGGTATGACTTTGGTAAAGATTAGAAATGCCTTCATTTGGAATAGAACATTACTGTTTTTCTTACTTGTTGCTGAGAACAACTTTATTTCCTGTCTGTCCTTTTTCGCTCGACAAATGCTGTTTGTAGAGTGTGCCTTGTCTTCCTCCCATCACATAACAATGTAGGAGGAGGAGGGAAAAGTGTACTTAGCGAGCCAAGATGGCCCTATATCTGTGTGTGACATTTTGACAATTACAGCTTGGCTCCATTGCTTTGCATGACTGTAATTCTTTCCATGTCATTTTAAGGCCACGGGAGTCAGAAGTGGGTTCCTCCCTCTTATCAAGCGATAGTTCTCCCGGCTCAAGCCAATAATGGATCTGAGTTCACCTGCACATTAAGATGACAAAGAAAATGTAACTGTAATTTCCAGATAGCCAAGGGAGGAGAAACCTTTTCGTTCTCACTTAGTTGTTTTCTGGAGACGGATTACCACTCCAACTTGGCCAGAAATCCAGATTTGGTGCTTTTACTATGACCCTTTCTCATTTTTCTGGTTTTTACCACCAAATATTTTAATTGAATGCAGAGAGGATTACTGCTCCAACACACGGAGAAAGGTGTGATGATTTGCACTAACAAAGAGAAATATTACTGGGAATTTGACCTCTTAAATGTCAGGCAGAAAGGCCACTTAAAAGTTTAATTTCACATAGGTTACATTTAGTTGAAAGGAGAAATCTAGTTCCTCTTCTATCTATTGATGTGCAAGTGAAAAATTCAAACAGCAATAGATCGTCTGGTCTTGTAGTGTAAAGACTGGAGGCAGGGCAAACAGCTTGCTCTGTTTAAAGTTCAAACACATGCCTAGCTCAAAACCTCTAATGCTAGTCTTAATGCTAGGCTATGCTAATCCTCTACCTAGGTTTAACTTTAATGGTTGCCACAAAGGCTTAGACACTTTGATCTTAGATTTACTGAAGCATCAATTTGTAAATGGTTTTAACATTGGGTAAAAAACAATTCTGCAGTGTGGCATGTCTTATATTAATAAAACACTGAGAATTGTTTTTCACAGTGAGGCCATCCCTCTGTTGGCATCTCTGCTGGGTTCATTCTGGCAATTTGTTTATTTTTTTTTCCATTCCCATTATAACCCCAGAATATTTTTCGAGGTGAATGTCTTCAAAACTTTTTTTAAACTGACAGCACACTTTAAGTTAACACCTGAGGAGAGCATTTCACTTCCAGCGTAGGTGAAACACGCGCCCTACGCTTCCACCTTTACACGTTCGTCTCGCACATGTTCTCTTTATTTAGCCGGGTTTTATCGCTACCAGGATTTAGTTTGCCTCCAGCTCCGAAAACGACCTTTGGTTTCCACAAATCCTCCTAACTGTCTCTCCATTTAGATTCATGCCACACTGGAGCACGAATTTAGAAAAAAAAGCCAATTAATCAAGCCGCATTGTTTTTGTAATTCAACTGATCTCTCCGTCTCTCTTTTTTTCTCTTTCTCTCTCTCTCTCCCCCTCCCCAGTTCTCTCCAGCTGGGGACTTGATCTTCGAGGTGTACCTGGAAAAGAGAGAGCCGGAGAACTGCTGTTTAATCAAGGTATAGGAATGTGTGTGTGTGTGTGTGTGTGTGTGTGTGTGTGTGTGTGTGCGGCTGCTTTCCCGTAGGTCCCCTGTGGTAAGGTGAAGAAGGGAGGGGGGGCATTGTAGTGTGGGATGAACGCAGGTGAGGAAGGAACGAGGGCTGAGGGTGGGTAGAATGAGAGGTGGAGAGGTTGATAGAATAGGGCTGAGACGTTCGTGGTTTAACCTGATGGGATTACCGCCCCTGAAATAAATCAAAAGCGAACTAATCAAAGAAACGTCTGATTTAATTGTGAGAGTAATTGCATTTCACGAGGCACGCAGGCCGCTGTAGGTTACGGACTCCTCTCACAGGTCGGCGGCAGCGGCAGAATAGGGATGGGGTTAAAGAGGAGAGCTCAGCACCGCGGTTTCACTTTAATGCTCTACGCTTTCTCTCTGTGGAGTACAGTAGCACATTTGCTTTGTTTGGGTAAGCCTAATAACTTGACAAAGAAGCCAGTATATGTGTTACATGTTAAGTATTGAACTGCTCTACATAGACTAAGATTGTTAAAGGCAGTGATATTGATCCAAAGAGCTCATGATGATGTGCTCACTCTGTTCGATTGTTTACCTCTGTTTTTACCTGTTTTCTCGCTGGCCTCTGTATCTGTTTATCTGCTTTGTGCGTTTGCCGTAGGTTTCTCCCAGCATGCGGTCCGCAGAGCTCGCAGAAACGGCGCTGAGCATGAGGAACGTTACCTTTAGCGCCGGCGACCTCTGGACCACCTTTGAAGTCATCGAGAATGGAGAGTTAGGTACGAAAACACTGCCTTTTCCCACAGTGATTATCTCCAACAGAGAGTCCTGGTCACAGTCAGGTCAAGGTGTTGAACAGTGAGTCATAGAGATATATAATTAACAATTATAATTAACAAGGCCGGGAGTATGAATGAATTTACTGCCTGCTTCCAATACTGCTGCCAACTTTTTCTTTTTGGCCAGTTCAATAATTATAGAGGAGATGCAGACAGGAAATGTAGGGGGATGGAGGGTCCCTGTGCCAAGAATCAACCCGTGGCAGTTATGTGGTACGCTCCTGAAGTCGCTTTCGGCGAGCAAGGGAAAACTTGAAAATAATTATATTCATATGCAATTATTTTGCATTAGCACAACTTGTTTTTGGGTCAACATGCTGCTACCTTGATGACATTCTATATGGTCCTATCACACAGAAGTGTTCAAATTGAACTCATAGTGTCTGCAAAATGTACATTCAGACAAAGGACTTTGACCTTTGATCCTGCACCCGTGCCTCCTCAGTTTACTTCAACCGTGGGAACTTCCCTGCACTGTGCTGCAGTTTAATCATCAATACAAACACTGAAAAATGTTTTTCTTTACGCCACACTGTTGAAGCTTACACAAAACGCCTCTTTACTAATTACTACTTCTACGAATTAATTTGAAGAAATTAAACTAACATTTAATTGTAATCAACTGGAAGAGCATCTTTGGTAACAAATACTACATCCCTCCTGTTTGTTAGACATTGGGGTCATGAAATCATTGATTCTTTAATTGAAGTGCTCGACTCACAAAGGCCTGACAAATGTGATAATGTTTCTATACAGCAATCTCTGAAAATGATTGTCTCTTTGTTTTAAATTAGTACAGTATATCGCCTATATCCACTATTACTAGCTGTGGCTTTCATTCCAAGGGATTAAGGAAAAAGTTTCTATTGCACGTGAACTACTGCAGGGCTACTGCTAATTTTAATATTTTTTATTTGCTAATATTTTTTTATTTTATTAGATGACAGGCACCTGTTGCATGATTAGAACTGAATGAAGCTGTTTTCTGGAGACCCTTTTAAAGGATTTTGGAGTAAAATATAAACCATTTTTCATAAATTACAATAAAGGTTACTCTCTCGTCAAGTCTTGGCTCTAAACCTTCTCCCGTCATCTACAGTACATCCAATTAGTGATTGATGCGCCACATCACCATTTAAATGGCTATTCTCATTCAGGGCATATACAAAGATCACACTTTTTCACACCCAAGGACCTGGTGATGAGAAGATTATGCTATCTCTCTAATGAACCAGTGTCCGTGAACATGGAAGCACACTGAGAAATTAGCCAAGCATCGTCAATTTGATGATATGCACATTAATTAATCATTTTTACCATCATATGTCATGAATTACCTTCATCTTCCTTGCATGATCGACCTAGGGAGCTGACCCACCTCATCTTGCATTAATATGCACCGGTGGCACCCCGTGCCTCACTCACCCGCATTTGATCATAGCACAGGAAGCGGCGAGCGAGGGGAAGTCAAAGTTGAGCTTTGTCGTCAAGTTGCTTAGCTGGCGGTCCCCGTGCGTTTTCATCAGTTCACTGAGAGTTTACACCGCACTCTTATGTTTGTTTTTCTCCACACAAAGTTACAGAGGACACGCCGTCCTCTTCTTAAAATGAAGGTGTGTTGAATACTGAATATATTTGCTGACGGTTCAGCATAAATTCCATGGCAAGACAATATGTCTGTGGAAGAGTAAACAGTCAAGCTATTTTGAAGGCGGTAGCGTGACAGGTTTTGCTCATAAAACCACAAAGAAGGGAGGGAAAGTGCGTTAATTAGCCATTTTGGAGGATAGCTACAGATAAACACTGTTATCGAGGACAATAGGCAGAAAAGGGGAGCTAATATTTGTTGGGAAATGAGGAACTAATTCCATGGCCTGGGTCTGCAGAGATTCCAGAGAGAAGATAAGCCTACTGCTATGAATAAGTTATGCCATTGTGGCTCTTTTTACCTCCTTTGGTTATGAAAAACAGGGGAGTGTAGAGACGGAGGCATCAGAGCAGGGGTGGTGGTACACAAATTATCTACTGTTTTTTTGGCTGATAGCATGTACCCTGTTCACCAATTAGGAAGAGATAATAGGTCTATTTTGCACATGAGTGTGTTTTTATAATCGGGTCCTGATATGCTGGAGATAATTTAAACTACTCTGTGATGAAAATGGGAAGAACAACAACATAATTCTGTTATTTGGTTTACTAGAATCAGTCATGGATTTTATGCGAGGTAGTAATGTTTTATGCATTTTTAATTCATTCAAGATCAGAAGATTGAATGGCGTTGTTGGTGGTTGACTTTTTTTGGCCATTTTCTCTGGCCATAGAGAAGTGAAGTCCTGTTAGCTGTTACGGAACCGACTAACTCTCTTTTCTTGCAGCTGCAGCTCTCAACATGGCCAAACTTGCAATGATTTTCACCCCTTTTTATACTTTTTCCATTGTCCTCGGCCATGTTGGTGTTGGTGACGTTTATGAGAGATGTATTTCACTGAGCGGAAATGTTACCTTTTATGCTTTAATTTTTTAATGTGGTGATATAAATTCACAAATATCATGAGTGTAATTCAAAGCACAATTCAAACGAGATCAAAAGTTATTTCTCTCTCGCCGTTGACTACTGTATTTTTTTTCTGAAATAAGGTCCCAAGGGGGACACTTGTTAAACATGCCTCTCCCTCTGACCTGATGTCTTTACAGAGCGGCCGTTGCACCACAGCGAGAAGATTCTCGAGCAGGTGCTGGAGTGGAGCACATTGGACTACCCTAGATCTGCTTTTCTTATTATAAAGAAGTTTTCAGGGGCCAAAAGAGTGGCTGATGGGAAAGGTAGAGTGTGCAAACGATGGTACAAAACCATTAAAGAAGTGTGCTGGTTACGTGTCATTGATTGCAACTGCTTTTTGTCATTATTTGTTAATATATTGATTACTTTAAAAATGAATTGTTAAGTCTCTATCAGTAATATCCAGCATATACCCCTCTATCTCTAAAGATTTCTAAGTAGCTCCACTATGACTTATATATAAACTATGACTTGATTTAAAAAAAATATATATTCTCATATTGAGCTAGCTGCAGATATAGTAGCTAGTTAGATAAAAGTAATGGATACAGTTGAAATGTAATTAGATGTTGATCAAAACATTGCTTAAAGCGACTAATGTTCAGCACTAGTTGATAGACTTGTGCATCCACTTTGGGTTGATGAAAATGTTCCTTTTTAATCAGCTGCTTCTTGTGTTTCGCAGTGGACCACAAGCAGTTTATAAAAGGCAATTATCTGAAGTTCAACGACGGGTCCTGTAAACTGCTGTCGGGGCACAAATTCCAGGACAGATACGTTGTGCTACGCGCGGAGCAGCTTCTGCTCTACAGAGATATCAAAGTAAGTACACTTTTATTTCCAGCTTAATCTCCTGCCACATCTACTGTAAACACTTGCAACCGTAAGTTTTCGCATGCAAACACGAAGTATCAGACGGACAGAGAGTGCTTTGTATCACGAGGGAATTGACGAGGTTATAGAACCGCTTAAGGATAACCAAAAACGTGTTAGGATGGCGCCTACATAACTTCAACCAAACAGACCAAACTCCACCCAAACTCTTTCTGCTTCATCTCCCTGGCGACATGTCAGTCTATGGCATCCAAATCTTCGAATTAAGGAGGAAAATAAAACACACTGATGGCGGCGGACTTCCCTCTCTCTCTCTCTCTTCTCTTTCTCTTTCTCTTTCTCTCTCGTCTCTCCTCTCTCTGCTCTCCTCCCATCTCTCCTCGCTCTCTCTCACAAAAAAAAAAAAAGGAAGAATACGGTGTGCTTCTGAGAGGACCAGCAGGCCCGAGTTCCCTGGAGGGCTTTTCTTCCCAGCACATTTCTGCAGTTTGAAACATGGGATTCGTAAAGAAGTGTGAAGAAGTGTTAATAATTGATGGAGGTGCAGTAACTCTGGCAGTAGGGGTAGGAGTGTAGCGGGGAGGGAAAATGGTGAGGGGTGTGTGTGTGGGGGTGCTCTCACTGAAAGCTTTTCTAAATATCAGGTTGCACAAGAATGCGGCTAATTACTGCATAAATGCAAAGGAAATAAGAAGTGTTAGTGAAATTTAATTGATATTCTTTGGCCTCTACAATTATTGCCAGGTCTGTATTTAGCGCAAATTATGTTGGATGAAACTGGGAATGGGTGGTGGGCTGTGGTGTGTAGGTGTCAAAGTCAAGCTATAACTTTGATTTTGTTCGCTTTGTTCTCTTCTACTTTGTTCTTTGTTGTGTGGAAGAAGAGGTTTAGCTTTTAACGATTCAAATGGATCGCCACGTTGAGATGCCGCACAGATAGTTTGTTGGCATTTTATTTTATTTAGAATTATGTACTTAAGCTGAGTTATTAATGTGCGTCTTTGATTTTTTTCCCTTCATTAATAGATTCATGTAAAACAATTGTTGTTTTGTTTTCTTTTGCAGAGCACCAAAGCAGAGAAAGTGATCCAGCTCAGCTCTTTGAAATGTTACCTGGGCCTGAAGAAAAAGCTCAAACCTCCAACAAGGTAAACCATTTTTAGTCAGATGTTTTGCATAAGTTTTCACTCCTATTGTCGCTGTAAATGACTACACTTGATTTGAATGCACTGCTGACCATAAAGACCTGATGCTGAGTCATTTAATGAAGTGCAAAAAAGAAGAAATCAGTGACTTACCACAACAAGGAAGCAAGAAAAGGTGCTAAATAATATGCTGTCAGCTAAACACGAAGGCCAGCCACTAAATTAAAAAGGTCTCCTTAAGTATTAAAAATCCATCAGGGAGATTTTTGTCACATCTTTACATGTTCTGCATAAAATATGTGCATGAAAGCAGTGTTTTGATAGACTCATCCTGTTAGCTTAAGTGATACACATGTTTGTGTTTGTCCTTTGACAGCATTACTGCTGTTAATGGATAAAAAAACAATCTGAAATAAGCACATGATTGGCTGCTTCAGCCAAAACAGAAGGCTGTATCCGGTATAAGCTGCAAAATACCTGGAACAATATGAATTCAGTCTTATAACTTGTGTTTTTTTTATTTCAAGCTTCTCTAAAGTGCAATTTATGTGCATTTAATCATTTGCTGCAGTGTTCTTTGTTTCCATCGGTGGAGTAGCTTTCATTATCATAGATATTACTTGTGGATGATAAGAAGTTGTCAGATATCTCTCTCCCTCCTCTCTCCCTCCACCAATAAAACAACAGGGCTACAAATTTTACACCTGCTTCTCCAAGACGTTAAATCACAGACACAACTGCCTCCGCCACAGCGGTCAATCAACTATTATGAGCCAGTTTTAGTGGTCATTTGTACAAATTTCCATTCCCTCCTTGCATATTTCTTCTTGCGATAAATAATGCATAAAGCCAAACAATTTTTTCAGTGCAAGAATTTGACGTCGCTGCATAATTAAAGTGTGGTCAAACGTGACTCATTAGTGCCAAAACAACTGCTGCACATTCTCCGAAAATTCACTCCTCTGTGTTATTAAGATGAACTAGTGATTATTTAGCATTGCTGTTGCCTTTTTGAGTGCACTTGTCCTTTAATAAATAGTAAAGTAAATGTAATTGTGTGCATGCGCGCAGTAGTTTTGTGCTTTTGTCGAAAAGATATATTGCCCTTTCTCTCCCCTTAAAGTTTGGCGTCACCGGGAGATACCCAAGCCGCTCCTGACCCCATCTTATTTTTCATTGTAATGGAATTGATTAAATGTAATTGCATTTTAACAAATACAAATTATCAAACTCTGCTTCCGCGGGTAGAAAACACTGCTGCCAGTTTTATTTTAATGATCTTCCTATTATTATAATTTATGACACATGCCAAACCTCTCAGCAGCTCTTGTTGGTCAAACAAAGAGGATATTTTTGAGAAGCCAAACCCTATATTTCACATTACCCGATTATAATTCCTCATAATTTTCCCCATGTCGGAATTTCGAGTCTAGGGAAGCGTGAAAAATGAGTCCGGCAAAGCGATTGTCTGCATTACGCCGTCCTTTAGGGGAGAAAAAATGGATAAGAGAGAGGGGAGTTGGAAAAGAGGGACAGAAGGAAAGAATGATACAGCGTGGTATCATAGATATACTGTTGAGTGGGCTGTGGGAGAAGTGATACGGTGAATAAAGAAATAAAGGCAGAGTGCTGAGGAGAACGGAGAGAGTCAGCGTGAGAGGGTTAGGAGAGGCAGCGCTCCAGTACCTCATTAAGCAGAGTTCTATCTGCGAGCGGCCTACTGCGGGGTTGGATCGGCTGCCTTAACTCACAGGAGTGGTGCTCCAGGCTGCGGGCTCTCTATCTCTGCCCCCTCTTTCGCTTTGTTCTTCCCCCACTTCCCTGCTCCGGTTCAGCCACAGCTGTGACGGGTTTCAGGGAAGGTGTATTCTCCAGGAAGGTGGTCTTTTCACCTTCTGCTGCCTCTGTGCAGGTTTATTCTCACTGAAACACACATGTATACATGTATGTATACATGTGTGTATATATACGCTTTTTTTAAGCATAGAAAAAGCCTGCAGGGCGAGAAGAGGGGGTCTTTATTTTGCCAGCAGCATCATACAATTAACCATATTCATATGTGATCATTTAATGACAGCAGAATGTTCATTATGCAATATGGGAATGCTACAATTTAGAGATTCAGTCTCGCATCTCTTCCAGCAAAATGTACTTTAAGGCGAGCCACATGTGCTTTGTGCATTGTACATTTTGGTCCAGAGCATACTGAGGTCTGCCCATGCATAAACATGTGGGCTGGAACTGCACTGATTAATCTAATTAATTCCACTGTTTAGCACCTTGCATTTGTAGTGGACTAATTTTTTCCTCTTTGCATTTTAATGAAAAGGTTGTGACCTGCTGCTTTCTTTAACAATGCTTTCTCAACAATTTCTTTTAACATTTTTTATTTCTACTGGAGTTGGATACTTAAAAACTCTGCGTGTCTTTTCGCAAAAAAAATGTTTTTAACCTCTGTCTTCAAATGAAGTTGGTGTGCAGGACATTGCAAGTTTCAAGTTTGCAGAACCAGAATCTCAAAATCTGACCCGTGTCCTTCTTGTTTAACAGCTGGGGCTTCACAGTCTACACTGATAAACAACAATGGTGAGTGCCGTGCAGAAGTTCTCCAGTTCAATAATTGATGAGTGTGACTTTTACCCTAACTCCACTTAAAATATCTCTAAAACAGAAAGAATGAAGTGGCACCAGTTAAAAAGTTGAAGTTAAAGCACTTTGTAATGATCCAAGTGGGTTAGCAGTGGGGCCATTTGCAGTTAAAATATATTAGTGATGGTCACATGGGGAGCGGCTGCTGTCTGGTCCACTCATAGGAAATGAAATATACACTGATTTCCCCCCTTTTTTAATTAATATCTAGTAAGTAGCTTCCTTTTAAAACCATTATCTGATTGCACACTTAAAAAGCTGCCTTCCACATTGACAAAGGCAGTTTCTTGACAAAAACCAGCTACACTCATAGCATTTCTGATATCAGGATAAGCTTATTACAATACATTTTTGGAATTTATGTAAATAAAATGTGTCTACTCTTGACTAGGTTGGAAATATTCCACATGAGGATTGTAGGCTTTATTTTTTACCCATACAAGCAACGCAGCTCTGGGGATAGCTTTGTTGATTAGTATATAAATATCTAGTTTATTTGAGGCTAACATACTAAACTCCGATACTGAACATGGTAAACATCCACATGTTGTCATTGTGAGCATGTTAGCATGCTGTCATTAATTTAGCTCAAAGTACAGCCTCACAGAGCTGTTAGCATGGCTGCTGACTCTCTTGTTAGCTTTAATGCAGCCATTTTTCACTTACATGTTCTTTTTTACCATATAGCCATGCTAGCAACAAGGCTCTGTGGACGGCTATGTTGGATGGTCATTGCACCACTAAAATATTTTTTTAAAAATGTATTCGAGGGATCGACATATGTGATTAGTTCCAATTAGCAAATGTTAGCATGAAAACTAAGAGCCTAGCTGTTAGCATGGCTGTAGAAAGTCTTGCTAGCTGCCATTTTTTGACCTATATTTTCCTGTTTACCATGTGACACAGGTGTCTGCACAGCTACAGCTAAAAATGTTATTTAAAAAACGACTATTCATTGTTTCATGTGTCTTTAAGTGCTACAGTGTGTGCTAAAGAAAAAAAAGCCTTTGCTACATTCTCAGTTTATTGCATTGTATTTTTATATTCACAAATCACCAAATTGCTTTGAAGTTCTTTAAAAATAGCATCCATAACATACAGTATAGCTCAGTACAGTACATGACTACATTAGCTAAACAGAATACTGTACAAATGTGAATAAATGACAGGTATTATTTAAGCCATCATGCAAGATTGTTACTTACAGCACTAATCACTGCTGCCAAGGGATATATACGCATGCAGATTCATGTAATCATAGATAATGGCAGCCAGCCCACCTATGGTCAAGTCTATTTATAGTGATAGATGAACTCCTACCTCAGAAGACACCGTGTCCACTGCTGTGACTCACCAAATCCAGTCACCTGGTTAAAATTAGTGTGAAAATAACGAGGTACAATTCAGTGACCGATGTGACCAAGCTTTCCCTCCTCAGGCATTTCTGCTGCGAGAAGAGGGAGGCGCAGGTCAGCTGGGTGACGGACATCATCAGAATGAAGGTAAGATGACGTGCAGAGTGAGGAATGCACTCATGCAAAAGCTGGATGAAGCAGTGTAATGAGCGGGGCATGCAGTGACTTTAGGCGTGCAGTAGAAGTATGTTGCTGTTGTGTTGCAACCCAAAAATATCAGTAAATGTGACATACAAATTGCGGACACATCCTCCTTTCCCCCCTTCCTTATTTGGATGAAAAATACACTCGATTACAGACCCGGAATAAATCATCTTTTACAATCCATATCTCACAACGAGGAGATATGATAAATCATATTTCCCCCAATCATCCATTTCCATTGTGCTGTTAGGCAGATGAAATACATAAACAGGGAAAGAACTGTAAAGTTTTCGAGGTCACTCAGCAATAACATAAATCATTTTATGTGGAAAAGCTGTGAGAATAAGGTCAAGGCGACCATAACAATCACATTGTGGTACTTAGCCCCAAGATACAGCTAAGTGTTGTCGCTGTCAGTCGCTGACACAGCACATATGACATAAATAATGCAAGGCAAAGCAAACACAGGGAGAACAGCTACGTATGTGTCATATTTTTGCATTATTTTTCACTTTGGCATTCATTCCTAACTGCTCAGTGAAATAACCGTTGTGTTTCCTCATTAGACTAAATACATGCGTCTATTTCCTGCTCGTTTCCAAGTAAATGACAATAACTCGAGTATTACACTCATCCGAAACTGGAATATCTAACTGTATCGAGAGACTTCACAGCTCTGTTATTGTATGCTCAGCACATTTAATCAGTATTAGCCCTCTGTTCGGCTTCCTTTATGGGAACCCGTCTGCGGAACAGTGTTGTTTATCACAGGTGCTTACTGTAAAAGCCTTTTAGTGCCTTAGTTTGGGTTAGCAAGTAAAAAGGGCAACACTGTCAGGGAGAGATTGATCTTAAGGGGAAGCCAATTTTTGTCTGTTGTTTCAAGGTGTTTATTTCAGTGGGCTCAGTGACTTTTCTCTGCTCTTTGCAGAAGCTCTTAGCTCTGCAACAACTAAATCTATAGCAGACTGAAGCCGGCTAAAGATATTAGGATTCTCCTCCCAAATCCGCTAAATATCAGGATTGTCAGCTTCCAACACGGGGGCTTGTGGGAAGGACACAGGACTTGTGGGAAGGGCAAAGAGAAAGTGTAGATGAGAAAGTAGACAGAGCACTTCAGTGTTCTTGATTTCCTTTCTCTTACCTGTTAGCGAGTATTGTGCTCCGACAGTTTCCATAGCAACTACAGATGGAGGACCTAATTTTGAAGCAAGGTGGAATGGATGGTGGTGAGTGTTTGAGGGTTGGGGCTGGGTGTAAAGGTCCAAGGACAGGTCCTGGCCGTGATGAAATAAGGATTTGTTAAAGAGAGATTGTTCTATAGGTCTCGGGTCACAGTCATATAAAAGGAGACATTGTTAAAGAGAAAGTTTAGCCAGAGATCAGAACACAGTCGGACAGAGGATCGTCACCCTCTGGCTTTCCCTCAGTTTTAAAGAGCAGCAATTTAAACCTATACATCCTGTCCCGTTTCTTCTTTACTTTATAGTAGTTATTTTATGGTGAAGGAAACCACATTTCTCACAATTGTGAATAAAAATGAAGAAATAGTACTGGATACAAGTCTGTAAAAGTGCAGAGATGTGTGTGTTTTTGTGTATTATCCTTCCCTTTGACTGTTGAAGAAAGCACAAACAGTACTGACCCAAAACATATAAAGCTAAATTAAGGCATTTCCTTTTTTTAGTTATGTATGTTTTTGGGTGAGTCATCATGAACTATCTACATTGTCCACATTGAATATCCCCCACAAATAGGTTTTTGCCTTACTTACTTTACCTTACTAACAATTTCTGCTGTGTGTCTTCAGTACGGTTCTGACCTCTGTTCAAAGAGCGTTAACTCAAAAGAAGCTGCAGATCACAAATGCCCTGGAGGGAGAGCTGTGGCTGAAGGCCGGAAGATTCAAACACAGAACCACAATTCCAGCAATCAGGTGAGAAACCAATGACACATGATACACAGGCTACATAAATATAAATGCCACCATGTTTGGCTTTAAAATGTTAAAAAGCTGCTTTAGACTGCATTCTATTCAGATATAACGCTGTGTATATTTACTCTACTGTGAGGTGATTATCTTGGTTAACGACATATTGATATATTGATATTGACTGACTGTATTCACACTACACTTTTCTGCTGCATTCAAGTTGCATTGGAAAAAGCAGAATGCCTCAGCTCAAACAAACAAACAGTTCGACGACATCTTCTGTCACCATTGTGATGTTGATGTGAAGAGTTTCAGCTAGCGGCACGGCTCATTGGTTTGCAGTGTCAGTCGGACCACCAGTTTGATCCACACTAAAAAAAATATTTCAGCAACTACTGAATGGATTACCATGAAATTCAGCACTGATGCTCATTCCAGCACTTTGGTTTATGGCTGAATATTCAAACACATTCCCATCCCCTTCAGCTTTACTAACTAGCAAATATTAGCATGCTATTACATATGCGAAAACGCAAACTTTATACCTGCTAAACATCAGCATGTTACCTTTGTCATGTTACCATTTAGCGCAAAGTACTGCTGTGCCTAAGTCGAGTCTCAACAAAGCTGCTCGTATGGCTGTAGACTCCAAAATGATTTCAGTTTGATTACTTGCTATCACCATTTTAAGGCTGATAAGGGCCAGCAGTTGGGGGGAGTTTCACTTTTCTGTGTAACTGTAATAAATAAGTTTGCACCTCCACAGCAAAGTAGGACATAATATTGTGATTTTAGTTGTCATGATGGTAAGAACTCAGGTTGAAGTAATTATATAAAGGAGTTTGTGTCAATTTACGTATAATTTACAAACAGGGTTGGGTGCATTACTTGGAAAATGTAATCAATTAAACACTTTTTAAAAAACCATAAACAATCCTTCACTAATTCCTGAACAGTAAAGCTAAATTACTTCTCACATTACTCTCTGTTTCTCAGCAATATGCAAATGTGAGTGCAAGGAACCCTCCTTACATGGAAAATATGGTAACGTTGAGCTGTAGTTAGTAGTTACTTTAATTCAGTCTAATGCAATTCATCTTAATCTGCCATACTTGCCCACAGCCGACAGACAGGAGGGGGATTTCTCTTGATGATGGCAAACCAAGGCCCACCAAGGATGCTCCACCACGGATGCCCAACCCCAAGACAAACACCACAGCCAACTGCCCGAAGCACACCGACACGGTCAAGGCCCCAGAAGTTCCATTCCGAAGACCCTCTGTGGATGTTTGCCAGCCTCAACACCTCCCATCACCGGCCCCATCCAGACACTTGAAGCCCATGCCTTTGCCCCTTCCTCCTCAGAGTGGCTGTAAGACCATCAGCAGGAGACCTGTTCTGGGTGGGGAGGGTGTTATGCCGCCTAGTTTGCTGAATGAACTGAACTCAGTGCTGAGCAAGACCGGTCGCACTGCCAAGAGCAATGACTGACAGGAGGAGAAGTCAGGTGAAAGAGAGGTACCTTGAACGGTCAGTTTGAACTGTAAGGCAAACATTACAGAGCTGAGTAGAGAAATAAGACTGTGGAGACTGACAGAGAAAAAACCACAAAATGCAGATGGAGCCAAAGTCCGTTGCTTTCATGAGGGGGGATCATAGCCTGAAGACTGCTTTTGAACTTGGATATATAAAGGGATGCCGTTGCACAAGGGGATGTGGAAAACAGGTGCAGGAGACACTGGAGGTCATGCAGACCTCAGCTGGACATGGCGCTGACCCAAGCACTACAAAACATGATTTATATGCCGCTCTTCTAAACCCAGAGCATGTTATAAAAATATGTTCAGCTGTCAAACCTCAGAAAATTCCAGAAATGCTTGCTTCACGCTTTAAAGTTTCCAGTTACTTTGAAAAGGCTTTTTAGACTTAGTCTGGAAAGTATTGTGATTAATTTAATCCTTACACAGTCAAGTTAATCTGTAATTAAACATTCCCTATAATTTGAATTATTAGTGGCGGGGTATGCCATTAAAATACCCAAGTGCAAAAGAAAAGATTTAGGGCCCACTAACCATTAACAGAGGCTAATAGACTCACGTTTTTGTAGACATGAGATGCAATATTAGCTGGTGGTAGTGGGAAATCTCATGTGTAATTATTTATTTGTAATTATTATTAATATATAAATATTTGTTTCAAAAGTTAAGGTTATCCACCTATTTTTCACTGTAAACATTAACTGTATAGCTAACTAGCAGTTTTTTAAGTCTATAATTCTGTGGTGCACCACTTTAAACTTCGCACTGGCTGCCACTAAATCTAATTTTAATATTCAGTATAAATATATGAATAAATATCTAGTTCATGTTCTGTTTTAATTAAAAATCTGAAGCATACACTATTAAAATGGACTACGAGTTAGCACAGGTGTCACCAGATCCACAGAAATAGCAGCTTAAGAAGATTAAGATACCCACTTTGAATGTAGTTCAGCACAAACTGTGTTTAACTAGATATATTAGATGAAATATGTCATTAAGACTCCACTCCACAGAAACACCATCAGATTTAGTAATGTCACACTTAATCAGAAGCAGGCATTGAGATATAACTTAACTGGCTTCAACCTGAACAGAAACATCATTTTAGCTTTTCTGTTGGAGTTCAGGTGTAAAAATACCAGTCCTGAACAGATATTTTTGCATGTGATTGTCTCCTTTAATACTTAGTGGAAACACATGCTCGTATGTGCGGTATTTATAATTGACTTAAACATTCATAAATCGAGGAGAAATACTGCGCACTGCTGCAAATTAAACATTTCTATTTTTGTAGAAAGCTCTGGCTAAAAATGCCCTTTAATGTGTTTCTGCAGAAATGCAGATGGTGGGAACAATGGAGACGGTGGAGGTGTCGGTGTGTGTCACAGACAGTGAGCTACACGCAGGAAAATTGTTTTGGGAGAAATTGTCACTTATATACTTTTTATAGCAATGAAGCTACAAATACACGCCAATCCATCAGATAATTACAGTTGGGTAAAAAATAAAATACTGCATGAAGTAGAGCCATTAGAATAATACGAGGAGGAACCAAACCTTATATGGTGACAGAAATGTGCTAAACCAAAAAGTGATAAACATCGGTGTTGTTGTTTAATGATAATTACCGTCATTGCTTTCAGGTTTAATATGCATCATGATTGGATTTCTTTTTTTCCTGTCCAATTGCAAAGAGCTCTTTATCTGTGTTTTATTCCTGTTTTAATATTGCAGCTGGTCTCTGCAGGTTTACATAATGCAGTCATTTGGTAAATCTGCTCAGTGAATGTAGAGATTTTATATTCCACTAGATAGATCTCACTCTGTTGTGTTCTATGAACATATCTGCAAGATTTAAAAGATGGGTTCCCATAAGCACGTAGAGCAACTTAAGCCCAGTTGTGGATTTCAACATAAAGATCTTTCATCTTTGGCTTATTTATGGATTAATATATATCATCCATTTTATTCATAGATTTCATCAAATTCTTCCTTTTCTCAAGTGAAGTGTAAGAATAAACTCCCCGTCTCAAGTCACACGCTCGTGTTGAATAATGTATAGCAGTCTGAAAATGCACACGTAGGCAATTGTCACACAGGTTCCTCCATGAAAAATTCATATTAACATTTTATTTTCATTATGCCTCATGCACCAGCTGCTTGTCCTTTGTTTCATGTCCTTATATTCTAATCATAGAGCTACCACATTTCTGCATTCGTGGTCCGAAGCATTTCTTATTAGGGCTTTATTTGCACTGTGCAAATGTGTGTTTGCTTCCCTCGCCCATATTAGTTATATTACTGTATTCATTTCACTAAAAATGAATACGTTCCTACTTAACTGGTCTGTTGAGAGTCATTTTCATTCCAATCTGCCTTTCTGTACAATATAATCTTTTTATTCTGATGTGTGATAATATACTGTGTGTATATTGTTCAGTATTATATTGCTATTTCCTTTTAAAATCACATTATTACTCACTTGAGAGTCGTGAAGATAATAATCCCTTTAAAATTCTGCACCAAACTGCCGTGTCATGTCTCCTGTATGAACTTGTACTGATGCCATCTCTAGATCCTCTGCATCCTTTTCCTGGACTGTCATCTGTATGTGCATTTACCTCTGTTGTCCTCTGTGTCTGTACAACCCAGCATTTTTGCCGTCCCTCTGAGGCCTATAGGGTACGAAGGTCACCATATGGTGGAAAAGAGTTCAGCGAAAAAAGCTCTGCAAAGTCATTATATGCGTCGACATTGACCATGTCTCTCTGTTGAGGTAACAGCTTGTGTACTGCACTTAAGTACAATTCTGGGGTATTTTTACTTCTTGTACTTGATTGTACACACATTACTTGTTTTACATACTTTTTACTCCACTACCTTCATTTGACAGGTAAAGTTATGAGTTGCTTTTCAGATTAATGTACATTAAAAACATACAATTGCTTTATATACAATACATTTCACTTTTAAAGATCAAACCAGAGGTCCCAAACCTTTTTGGCTTGTGACCCCCTTTTCATTTCATACGTTT